AAACAGCACACGTTATATTGTTGCAAATTTATAAATCAGACAATCATTTCAATACAGAAGGTATATAAACTACAAAAAAAAAATTTCGTCTAGGATGACGTTTCACTGGTTTCCTAAAATATTTGAGTTAATATTAATATGAAAAATATATTTACATTTTTCATAAAAATCAATATAATCTTACAGAAATTACATATATCGTGTTTGATCTCATTTTAATCAGAAAATGCTCACGATTGCATTGGAAAAAGATCCATTAAAAAATAGTGAAAAAGAAAGAAGTTACACATTGCGTTATTATCTATTCTTCATTTGTCTGGCACCATGCTCGCGCGTCTAATGCGAATACTCTCAATCGAGAACGCTGCTAGCACGACCCGAGCCTGGCACGTAGATGTGCATCGACTCTAAAAGGACATAAGCATGCCGTTTTTAAACAATTAATACTGTTATTTCTTGAAATTAATGGAGACAATTTTTATTTTGCATAAAATTCCAATCCAGTAATTATTACACTGCGGATCTTTATGCAAAAGAAAAACTGCCTGCATCAGTTATTAAGAATTAAAAAAAAAGAAAAAAAGACAGTAAGAATTAAAAACGAAATCAAAATAAACTGTTTCTCCTATGTTACCACGAAGATAGCGTGACAATGTCATTGAATTTTGAGGGGTGCAGAATGCTATACCCCCGTAGTTTGATCACCTATTTCGGGGACATCCTGTATAATCAACAGAAGAAAATATACGCTTACACGAACCTCTTTCGCAACAGATGCAGAAAATTCGTGTCTGGCATAAAGAACAGCAGTCGAAGAATGACGATCGGAGCCGGACTCCTTCCGCCGAGTCATTACGCCACGCGATACCCAAGAAACCGATCGAGCCGTCATCAGCAGGTTCTTGCCGGTCGAAAATTATCGAGCATGGCTTGAAAAAAAGTATCGGTTCCTCGGATAGGTTAGCCGGCAAAGCGGCAGCGGCGAAAGGCAGAACGATCGAGCGACTTTTGCGCGAAAGAAAAGTGGAATCGTTAAACTGGAGGCCTCGAGGAGACCCAGCGCGCCCGGCTAGGCAACCGACCGGTAGTCGACCCTGTAATAACCGGTGATAACCGACCAGTTCTGTAATCATCGTTCTGCTCGATCCATCAATAGCGGTTGCCGGTGTCTGCCGGCCGGGAGAGCAGCACACGCCTCCAGCACTCGCGCGTCCGTGAAAACGGTCGAGTTTAAGGAAACGATTTCTGCGCGGGCTGATCGCGATCGCGCGATCTCCCCGGCCGGTTGTCATTTCGCCGGGACGCCTCGTTGCCTCCATTCTTGGAAACTCATTCGAACGCGAGCGAATCCTCCATTCGATCCTCCTCCAACGCGTCTCCATCATCCTCTTTCTCCTCATCCCCATCCTCCTTATTCTCCGTCATTCTTCGTCTCTTCTGCACTCGGCCAGATCGGAATTTCCAACACGATCTCTCTCTCTCTCTCTCTCTCTCTCTCTCTTTCTCTCGTGCGCGCGTGAATCTGCATGCCGGTTTTCTCGATCTCATGTAGCGTCGATGTCGCGTGACACTAAGCACGACAAAATGGCGACCAACGATTATCACTGATCGATACATTGATTTCTCGTCGCTCTATTTTGCAGACCCTAGATCATGCTGGCTTTAGAGAATCCTATGCATTATGCACCGACCGTAATTACTAACGCCGGTGAGAAGTATCCGAACTTCTTTTAGAACGCGAACACTTCTTCCAGATTGGACCGAACGACTTCAAGTATTCTTGAAATGCTGGAGAAATCTTGTTTATTGTACGATGATCGAAAAACTTTATTTTTTATTTTTCTATTATTTGGCGAGGCGAAAAAGAATAAAAACTCCTTTTATAATATCTTCTGTTTCGTGCTCTATATCGGGTTCTCCCAAGCAAATCGTTGGAAATCGAGGAAAGCTTGAGACATATGCAACTTTGAAAGGTAGGATGATTGAATTAGGATTTAGGATTTAGTCCCTGGCCGCTCTGAACGAGTTTTAATTAGCGTAGACGTGCAGGAGAAACAAAATTATACAAGTTTTAATAAAAATGTTTTAATAAAAAAGGTGAATCAAATTTGCCAGAGGGTTGATTTGACTTGCATGAAGATGAATAAGATCGGCAAAATATTAACATGACCTGCAAAAAAATCAATTTGTAGTGCAAAAGGATCAATCTAGAATGCAAAAGGATGAATTTGGAGTGCAAAAGTACCAAGTTAACGTGCAAAAGTACCAAGTTAAAGCGTAGAAGTACCAGGTTAGAGTGCAAAATGACGAAGCTAGATTGCAAAATGACGAAGCTAGATTGCAAAAGGACGAAGCTAGAGTGCAAAAGGACGAAGCTAGAGTGCAAAAGGACGAAGCTAGAGTGCAAAAGGACCAAGCTAGAGTGCAAAAGGACCAAGCTAGAGTGCAAAAGGACCAAGCTAGAGCGCAAAAGGACCAATTGAGACTGAAAGGATATGGCCACGACCTGCACAAGTAATAATTTCCATTGCAAAAAGGCGAATACGATCTACAAATGATTAATTTTCAGCGCGAAGCATGTATCCTCGATCGAATCGTATTCGCGAACTGGCAAATTGTCACCTGAACGCGACAGTGGCCTCTCGCAAGAAATCAAGCAGCAAACCAGTTCTACAGTCTGTGTCTCTCCACAATGGAATTATGTAAAGCGTCGAATACATGTCGGAATGCCGCTGATCAAACGACGCGTGACTCTCGAAGGAACTTATCGATTAACCGCGAGACATGTGCGAAAGTCACGCATGAAAAAATCGGATTTCGAACAGGCATCGGATAGACCGAGATAACTCGGGGACTCGTGATAAAGAGCGGAAGGGAGAAAGAGAAAGACGATGAAGAAAAGAGGGGGGAGAGAGAAAGAGGGAATGTTGCAATATTTCGATCGCTGAGAGAGAGACCGATGCACTTTAAAAATACGCCGCGTCTATTCATAGACATTTCCTTGGACACACCGTTACTTCGGTGTATAAACATTCTGCTGGTGCACCGCCGCCTCGCTGCACCGGCAAACGCAACAGTGCATTGCACTTCTAACCTCGAAAGAGCATTTGGTGTCTCGGCAAGACGTGCCAATTACAACGTCGCTCGCATGCTAAGCACGGTCTCTTTTCTCTTTACGTGCCATCCGCAAGGCTGAACCGCCGCGCCGCGTATGCAATTTTCTGCAAATCTGATTGAATCCCGATTCTCGCCAGTTTTTACCGTCTTCCAGAACCGGCTGATATTTTTGTACCGATTGTCCAGACCCTTGGTCTTGTAATCAGCTTGCACGAAGGTGCAACTCGTTTCTAGTTCAATAGAACTCCCCTTGACAGCTTTCCGATACAATTTCGAGAAGCTGCAGTGAAGCCTCTCTTATTCTAAGATTTATTTTTGTAACATCCTGATACCAAAACATTTTATTATCAAACAATTTCATTCACTTTCTCCATTAGATGTTAATGTATCTAAATAATTTTTTAATTCAAATTAATTAAATTTTATTTTATTTAATTCTGCTTCAATTTATTTAATACTACTTTATTTTATTTTATTTTATTTAGTTCTATTTAATTCTATTTAATTCTATATTTAATTCTCTATTTAATTCTATTTATTTCTCAATTTAATTCTATTTAACTTTGTTTAGTTCTATTTAATTTTAATAAGTATATGTACGGGTAAACACCCACTAATAATACAATACTTAGATAACAGAACGTCAGAATACTAGAATAACGTAAAAATAAGTATTCGGATAAGTATTCTACCATAAGTGCACCACTGCAGTGCGTCATCGGCCGAAAATAGAAAATCGCTTCCATAAAAGTGTCGAAGCAATTTCTTTCGTAACTACATTTTACAGAACTCTTAATTCGCCTTTCGTTGACCACAAGTCAACTTTTCCGACTAACGCCGTCTCTGCTTTCGAATAAACGAAGAATCGACGTAAACCCCGACACAAAGTGCAAAGCCGTATAAGTATTATCTGCACGGATCTTCGGCGCAGCTCCAGAAGAGGGTTGACTTCGTTAAGGGACTAGATCGATCAGCGCGGTGGAACACGTTCTAGCAGGAAATTCGCCGAACCCATAAAGCAGGTGCACGGAAGGAAAATCGAACTTTCTCTTTTGCATGGTAATTTCATGTGTTGGCCCGACCACGTCGCTCGTTTATCAAATTCGCTGTGGTCAGAGACGTCCGTTCTTTCTAAAATTACCCGGCGAACGCCGTTTCACGCAGCTCGCACGCGCGCGCGCCCGCCGCTTCTCAGAACCCCGTGAATCCTTTATTTCATCTGACCGATACCGCAGCCACCCCTGTGTGTATGTGTGTCGAATCGCTGATAAAATCGCGCGGGAATATGGAAACACGGTGAGACGAAAGGCTCCTTCGCGAAAACCTTTGCGTGTCGCTCGCAACAGAAACCGTCGGATTTCACGCGGCTGTTCATGTTAATAAGCTATGGGCGCAATTAGCATGCGATGATTGATAATCGAGTCGGGGGTGTATTTCCCGCGGATTTCAAATATTTCAGACACCTAAGTATTCGCACCGGTGCACAGTGGTATGAAAGCTCGAAATCATGGCCGAAATCCTAAAGACTGAAGTTGTCGCTAAGGAATTTTTCTGACTTACGGATTGGTTAGTTTAATGCCAACCATGGGTCCGTATGGTGGGAGATATGGGATGACCCTTACTTTTATACCTGAATGGTAATTGCACTTCGAATTTCGAGTTTGTTGGTCAGTCGTTACTTGTCAGCGGGACCGGCAGTAAGTAGTGGCAGTGGCAGTGGATACGATGTGGATAGTTTAAAGCGTGTATGTTTTTGTGGAAGTGTCCTTTTTCAATCGTGCAAGGTGGATATTGTTCCTGGTAGTAAGTACAACATTTTGTACTGCTAACATTCACGAATTGTTAACTATTACATTAGTAAATCAATAAATTGTAGATTCAAATTATGAAAGCAAATGGAACGCATTTACTGTAAAGTTATAGTCGAAACTTTTGCGGCCTATGAGGGCCTGCTTTCAAATTTACAGGAGCCATAGTTTATAGTTTCATCCAGCTGCACTTGAAAAATTGGCTGCATCATGTTGCACTTTTTTCAATTACAACCACTTTTGTGAGTCAACGTACGGGAAACCGTCCCGTGAGAGTACCTAAGACAGAATAACTTTCTAAAAATCGTGCCAAATTGCTTACATTGTTTTGAGATGTTAGAAAAAACACTTCATTAGGCAATGTCGAAAATTGTTATGAAAAAAAAAAAAATTTTTTAGATTGAAAAAAATGTTTCAATTTTTGGTTTTCTATTTTTATGATCTCGTGACAGTCGATATTGTCTAACTAAGAAAGAAGTGTTCCTTATTATTAAAGAAAACTTAAATAGTGATAATAATTCAATAATAGAATATTTTAAGCAAAAAACTAGGGAACTGTATACCTTTGGCTTCGTAGTCGATCGACCTTCCCGCGTAGCTACGGAACCTCTCTCATTTCCCAATTTTTCAACAACCCATCCGCCATATTTGATCCACCACTTTGTTTTTGGAATTTCTAAATTCAAATTCGTAATCAGCGACCATGAAAACCCTTACGTACAAATTTGTATAAATAAATCCGTCACTATTTCTTATTTTGACCATGATTTCGAGCTTTTATACCACTGCGTGGTGCGAAAAATGAAAAGATCGTAATGGTGATTAACTTCGCAGGAAGAAACGACTACAAATTCAACTGCTAATGTAGACGACGCAAATTAAATCATTAATATAGACGGAAACAAATGAAATCATTAATATAGACGGAAACAAATTAATCCTTTACACTCGAAGCTATTTTAATTCTGAATTCAAGATAGATTTTCTGACTTACAGTACTTCTATCTTGTACGATTCAAGTGCACTTTATATACACAGGGTGTCCCAAAAATGTCTCGCAATCCGAAAATGGCGGGTTCCTCGGATCATTTGAAGCAGCTTCTTCCTTCACAAAAATTTTCTCCGAGGCACCGTTAACGAGTTATTAACGAAAAACAGTGACCAATAAGAATCGAGTACGGCTGACGCGAGGCGGCCCAGCCAACCAGCGCACGAAGCTCAGTTCCGCTCATTGGCTTGGTCGCCTCGCGCCAGCTGAGCTCGCCTCTCATTGGTCACTGTTTTTCGTTAATAACTCGTTAACGGTGCCTCGGAGAAAATTTTTGTGAAGGAAGAAGCTGCTTCAAATGATCCGAGGAACCCGCCA